CTGAGTGGGGCTGAAAGGCTAATCAACAGGTGAGGACAAAATACAGGTAGTTCTACTTAGTGCCAGAAGGGGGCAGTTGAGAGCCGTGGCAGGGAAGGGGACTGACTGGCCTATCATTCAGAAGCAGGAGTTGCTTAGGTCTCAGGAGAGCCAGCCCAGGATTTACAGAGAGTCAAAGACCAGTCAAGGAGGAGCTGGAGAGGGCAATACGAGCAGGCACGAGCCGAGGTAAAGTAGAACCAGGCATCAGGGTAGCTGGCGCCAGCACTCACAGGAAGAGACCCAGGACTGGGTGAAACCGAAGGCAGGAACAAGGGCTGGCTAGGAGTTGAGTCTGTAGCAGGCTGGACTGCCCTGAGGGCCAAAGGCCTGGCTGCTCCAGTGAGCTGCCAGAGGATGGATTCATTAATTCATTCATCCATGCATCCATGCATCCATCCATCCATCCATCCATCTATCTGATACTGAGTTGCCTACTATTTGCCAGGCATGCGGCACAGAGTAATGAGCAAGACTAATAAGGTCTCTACAATCATGGAGCTGATTCTCATTAGGGAGACAGCTAACAGACAATCCAATGAGATAATCTCAGAAAGTGATGTGCATGAAGGAAAGGGAAATGTGATAGGCGTCAACTAATTAGGTGGAACGGGCTCAAGCTCATCATGACCTTATGCAGAACAGAACAAAGTGCTGCCTGGTCTGCGCCCTCCTCACAATCACCGTGGTCACTGAGCCCACTGTTGCAGTCACTTGTCACTCCATCTCATTGAGGATCTCCCTCTTTTTCACTGAGCCTCTGCTTTATCAAGCATGATGTCCATCTTCAGGGACTGGTCCCTCCTGATAACATGTCCAATGTAAGTGAGACAAAGTCTCTCCACCCTCACCTCTGAGGAGAATTCTGGCTGTACTTCTTCCAAGTGATTTGTTCACTCCTGTGGCAGTTCCTGGTATATTCAATATTCTTCGCCAACACCACAATTCAAATGTGTCATTTTTCCTTTGGTCTTCCTTCTTCATTGTCCAGCTTTCACACGTTTATAAGATGACTGAAAATACCATGGCTCAAGTCAAGTGCACTTTAGTCTTCTAAATGACATCTTTGCTTTTTAACACCTTAAAGGGGTCTTTTGCAGATCTGCCCAATGTAATGTCATTTGACTTCTAGACTGCTGCTTCCACGGGCATTGACTGCTGATGTAAGAAAAATGAAATCCTTGACAACTTCCATTTCTTTGCCATTTAGCATGATGTGTTTACTGGTCCAGTTGTGAGGACTTTCATTTTCTTATGTTCAGGTGAATCTACACTGAAGGCTGCAGTCTTTTATTTTCATCAGTAAGTGCTACAAGTCCTCTTCACTTCTGGCAAGCAGGGCCATCTCATTTGCATATCACAGGTTGTTAATGAGTGTTCCTCCAATTCTGAGGTCATGTTCTTCTTCATATCGTCCAGCTTCCTGGATTATTTGTTCACCACACAGACTGAATAAGTGAGGTGAAAGAATACAACTCTCCCACACACCTTTTTTGATTTTAAACCAGGCAGTATCCCCCTGTCCTGTTCAATCCACTGTCTCTTGACCTACGTACAGGTTTCACATGAGCACAACCAAGTGTTCTGGAATTCTCTTTCTCCCAGTATTATCCATAATTTGTTATGATCCACACAGCTGAATGCCTTCACACAGTCAATAAAACACATGTAAACACCCTTCTGGTATTCTCTGCTTTTGGCCAAGATCCATCTGGTATCAGCTATGACAGCCCTCTCCTAAATCTCCTGAGTCCTCTCCCAAATCTTCTTTTGAACTTCTGGCAGCTCTCTGTTGATGTACTGCTGCAACCTTTTTAAAATTATCTTTAGCAAAATTTTGCTAGGATGTGAAATTAACAATATTGTTTGGTAATTTCTCCATTCTCTCTGACCATCTTTCTTTGGAATGGACCGGAATATGGATCTCTTCTAGTCAGTTGGCCAGGCAGCTATCTTCTTAATTTCTTGGCACAGATGACTGAGCACTTCCAATGTTGTATATGTCTGTTGAAGCATCTTCATTGGTATACTGTCAATTCCTGGAGCCTTGTGCTTCACCACTGCCTTCACCAACCAGGAGCAACTAGAGGAGGCCGACAGTAGCTGGGTGGTCCACGCCATGACAGTGGAACTGAGAGAAGGGAGAAGATGTGCAGGAGAGCACTCCAGGCCAAAGGAGGAGCAGGTGTAAAGGTCCTGAGATTGAAAAGGGCTAGGCGTGTTCAAGACACAGAACAAAGGACACGGCAGCTGAGGCACAGACAGCAAAGGGCAGAGAAGGACGAGATGAGGTTGGAGAGGTGGCAGGGGCCTGATCACAGGGTCTCATAGGCTACAGCAGTTGAGTTCAGGTGTAGATAGCATCTATTTCCAACCCCCTGCCCCAATGAGCTGAGGCAACTTTAAAACCCTTTACAGTCTAGTAAATATTTTGCATGTTAAGAAGCTTAATAAATGTCTGCTGGGTAAATAATTTCATACTCAAAGATTTCAGCGTACTTTTCCATTTCGAGTCTCACACTTATTCTCTAAATATTGCTGAGCAAGAAAATATGAAATACTGGGAAAAGAGCACAGGTTTGGGAGTCAGGTCTGCCTGACTCCCAAGTGAGTCATCTTAGTCTTCCTGCAATGATTTTCACTGGAGCACACCCAGCACTGACAGAGATGCAAGTTCTGCCCCCACGGGGCCAGTGGAGAAGTTAACAAGCAGGTAAGTGCTTTGGTCGAACATGGCCACGGGACAATGGGATCCCAAAGGAGGCACAGTAATTCCCACTAAGAGGCAGAGAAAGCTGCTTGGAGGAACTGGCATCCACTAGAGGACCTGAAGGGGTAGCAGGAGGAATATTCTGGAGGAAGAGTGCTCTGAATCTATGGGAAGCAAATGCAAAGGCCCAGAGGCAAGAGAGAGTGGGGACACATGGCAGACTGAAGGACATTCCAGTTGGGTTGGAGTGTGGTATGCAGAGATGCAGTGACCAGTGGAACACAGTGAACAGAGGCTGTAGAGAATGGCTGGAGCTGAACCCTGCAGAGCCTTGGAAGCCATGTGGACAAGTCTGAACTTGGAGAGTTACTGAAAAATTTTTAACCAGGGAGAGATGTGATCAGATGTGTACTTTTGAAAGATCACTCTGGCTGAAATTCAGACAGCTATGTGACCTTAAAATAGGCTATCCATCCTCTCTGAGTCTCAGTTTTATTATCTGTAAAGTGGAGATAGCCCCCTCCTTGCTGAACTGCTGTATGGCTTAAATAAGCTAATGTGTGTATAGTGCCTGGCACTGTCATTGCTAAAAATGTGATACTGGAAACTTAAAGTCCTGATGGGTCTTCAAAGATGTGTGAGGACTTGGTGGTGAAGCCATAACCATACTGACCTCACAAGCACCACTTAGTGCCCTGTCCTGCTGGATTCCTCTTCACCCCCTCTCTAGTGAACAAACCCCAAACTCATGCTTGAGAGAAGGTACAAGCTAGGATTTCTTCCTACACTTACTTGGAAAAAGATGTCTGGGTGTGGAACTTGGGCTGACCCAACACAGAATAAGGAGTGTTTAGGAGGGTCACTTGAATGAAAACCTAGTCTTGTTCCAGGATGGCTCCGAAGAAAAGAGATGTAGCACCACATGGTCTGACTTACCCCCGCACATTAATACCGCTATCCCTAGCTGCCTTTAAGATTTCATCAGAGCGTTGCAAACTCTCCTCCACAGAGCAGTTGACGTTCTTCTTACTGAAAAGCTCCGAAGCAGCTCCAAAGACCGACACTTCCTTGGCTCCAGCAGCAACCTGCCAATAGCCAGGTGAATTCCCTTCAGCACTTTTCTCATCAAAGACACTGATACAGACCACAAAAAAAAAAAAAAGCAACTTTGTCCTGTGGTGAATTTTCTGCTATGTGTATTATATTTCAATGAAAAGAAAAAAACGCTAAACGCTGTCTTTCTCCCAAGGAAACTGCTACCACCATCACCACCCTGGAAACCACTCTTGAAAGGTGGCTTTTGCCTAAATATGGCAGCAGCATCACCAATGGTGTTCTGTCTAAAATCCTAAGAAACTGGACAGATGTCTCCTGGGTAAATAACAACAGCAACCACTGATGAAACTCTTGTTGAGAGCTTGGTTACCCTTCTTCAAAGAAAAAGCAGGTGACAAAGACAAGATAACACGTATGAAGCATGCACCCTATACTAAGCTCTTGCTAAGTAATTTATATGCATTCTACCTTCTGAAATCCTCACAACTCAAAGTACTACTATTAGTCCTATTTTACAGGCAGAAACTGAGGCTCAGAGAGGTTAAGCAGCTTATTATGATCTTGGAGCCGGAAGCAGCAGACCCAGGGCTGCCCTGGGTGAATCTGATGGTGCTCTTCCATCAGTGGAGACAGCCATTCCGACAGACATCCCAGGCTGAGAGCAGAGGTCCAGAAATAAGGTAGGGACCAGATGTAATCACTCTCATTTCAGGAGCCCCCACCAAGCAGCCCTCTTACCGCTGCCTGGAAGCCTTTGAGATTTGGGGTCAGGACTGGGTAGTTGATGCCAGGAAACTTCTGAATGCCCTTCAAGACTTCAGCATGGTCAGCCATCTGGGAGCGAAAGGAGACATTGCCAAGTCATCACCAAGGGCAGCCAAAGAGCTTGGTTACAGAAAACCTTTTTTTTAAATCACAAAGTCTGTTTTCCAGAACCCTTGGAGAGTGGGCCCTTTGGCTGAGCTGAGTGGCCCCAATGCTTTTACTAGGTCTGACTACCGATGGGCCAGAAGGCCCCTAGGGTTGGGTGATGCCCCCAATTTCTCCATACGGCCAATACCACAAGCTTTACATAATGAGAAATAGCCATTTATATGGAATGTTAGTTAGTTAGTTAGTTATGTGCCGTCGAGTCAGCCCTGACTCATAGCGACCCCTCCTTGGGTTTCCGAGGCAGTATCACTACGGAAGTAGGATTGCCCAACCTTCCTTCTCTGGTA